GAGGAGATAGTACTTAACTCACAGAAAGGAATCTCTATTAACAGGATTACAGATGCTATGGTCCCCATATTAGGGAAATAACTGGCATCTCCCATTTTTGTCCACATATGTCTACCCAAACTAAGGAAAGGAAAACTCTACAATATTAACATGGAGAAGAAAGTCTATGATTCACTATATATTTTATAAAGAGGATTTTGTTCTGTGTTCATTATTGTGTCCTCTTTAAGGTGTTGAAAACTAATGTTTTTGAAGATGGAAAAATAGAAACAGTAAGCCACACATGCTTTTCAAACCAGGTATTGATGTAATCAAAACTGCGTTTCAAAGGTTTACTTTTCTTGGCTTGCTTACTGTTATAGAACTACCCTATGGAAAATAGCAAGTATCTGTTTCTGAAATATATTAGGACATGAGCTGATAAGTTAAAACCAACAAAGATATCTGCCTGCCAACTACCTTTTCTAATTCCGATTATGTTATTTTACTTTTATTTCTAAATATTATTAGAAAATGAAATCGTAAGAAATATTGTATTACTAAGGCCCTGGCTTAGCCCAATGGGCAATACAGTATAGAGCAGCGGTTCTCAACCTTCCTAATGCCGCGACCCCTTAATACAGTTCCTCATGTTGTGGTGACCCCCGACCATAAAATTATTTTCGTTGCTACTCTATAACTGTAAGTTTGCTACTGTTATGAATCGTCATGTAAGTATCTTTTTGTTTTCCGATGGTCTTAGGCGACCCCTGTGAAAAGTTCGTTCGACCCCCAAAGGGGTCGCAACCCACAGGTTGAGAACTGCTGGTCTACAGGTAAATAGTATGGCTCTACAGTTGACTGTTCACATTTGGATCAGTGACTTCTAGCTAACTTTGAGCTAATTGCTTGGCATTTCTGTGCTTGGTTCAGCTTTTTCATCTGGAGAATGAGGATGTTATTGTACATGTTTCAGATAGCTGTTCTGAGGATTAAATGAGATGATACCTGTAAAGTGCTCAGAACAATGTCAGGCACTTGGTAAGGCTTAGAGTTAGTTATTATAGTAGGGGCTCTATAAATACATGTAAGGTGAAAATAATCAACAGATCCATCTGGGAATGGAGGTTAACTACTCGTGCCCCAAAATACAAAGCTCCTGCTGTTGAAATAACTTTGGAGAATGGAACATATCCCTATTGACTCCCTAGAATATTATGCCACATGGGGCCATGAAAGAAAATTTGATGAAATACAAGCATTAAATGTTATTACATAGCTATCCATAAATTCTGGATTTCCACAAAGCAGTTCTGAATCATAATTAAGGGTTTGAAAGTCAAATGATTTAAGTGCTAGTTTTAATTACCGCTTGGTGAACTTTAGTGTGTTAGAATTGTCACAACTTTCCTTAAGGATTACTCTGAAGCCAGGCAATACAGTGGGACATTATTAACTCCTACTTTGATACAGCAATTATCTGCATTACAAGGTTTATGCAATTAGCTGTTTAAGATGTCATTATATTTTGCCATCTGGTACACAGGAGTTTATGCATATGAACAGGCACGTGTTGAAGTGATTTTCACTATATGACTTGTTCTCAGCCCAAGTCATCTCTCTAATGAGGGGAAGTTACCGTGCACCTTACATTAGAGGCAGGTGCACACTATCAAGCTTCATTTTCATCGAAGACCTTCATTTTTCCATTTTAAAGTATTCTGCACAAGTGTTGGAAAATTAATTAGTCGTTTGCAATTGAATGCCTGCAGGCACTTTCCTTAGCAGTTAGAGAGGGTCATGGCTTCAGTTAGGGGCCACTCCTCCTCTTCACCCAAACGGTTGCAAGGAGCCCTCATTCCGTGAAAACAGCCAGGGTGTGAACCACTGCAGTAGACAGCCTTTCGCGAAGAGGGAAAGGGGGGCCTGGCTGCAGGATGTTGAGCCTCACAGGGTCAGCAGCCCCCCGACCCTCACTCCACTAAAGGGTGAGCGAGACCGGGAAAGGGTGCTGCCGCGACTCCCCGAGATTGCAGCTTCCCCGCCCCTCCCCTCCCCAGGGAAACCGCACCGCGGCCCCATCTGCAGTTCTCCTGGAACGCGATTCCCCAACTGAAGCGCATTAAAACGTCGCCCTCTGCTGTCCGCTCTCAGCCTCCGGGTAAGAGGAAAGGAGGTTAGGGGTCGGGACAAACTTTTCACCAGGCTCACCACTGAAAGCTAAACTCTAAAAATTGCCTTACATCCCTGCGGACCCCAAAGTCAACGAGGCTGGACTAGGGATAAGGAATCCCCTGGCACCAGGCAGTGTCTCCGGCACACACTGAGAACCCCGAGCCGACCTGTTCCGGCTAGCACGCTGCGGGAGCTGAGCTGGGGGAGCGGGGTGGGCAGGGGCCGGGGCCGGGGGCGGGACAGGTGCTGCGGGCAGCGGAGAAGGTCCCTGGAGGGTGGGGGAAGGACAGTAGCACGGAAGTGTTCCTGGGCCTCCCACTGCCCTGTTCTCCCGCTAGGTCTTGGTTGGTTCTAGCTGAATCGCCAAAGGGCCATAGGAGTCCCGGAAAGGCACGAGCGGGCACCTAACCGAGGCCGGCCCCACGCTGCCATTGAAATTTGACACTGACGAACGAGCTAGGCCTGCTGCTTTCTTTGGGAGAGCTTGGGAGTCACCAGTCTCGAGAAATGTGGCTTTTGGGTCCCCAGGGAAATGTTTTCTCCCCACGCCACACTGTCCCCACCATTGCTGCCATCTCCTCCCCATCCAACACACACCCCCAGCGCGCACGTGTTTCCTCTTTCCCGGTCCGCGTGCCAGTTGGAGAACCTAAGTTCAGCTCCAGGAATTGTGGAGAGAAAGAACCTTCTGACCACGGGGAAGTATGGCTTTGTTGAGGCTGAGGCAAGAATGTTAGCCCCTTGAGCCTTTTGTTTGGGGGCTCTCTGACTGCAGAGGCGCCTTTCACCTTCTATATTTGGGGCCTGGGGGTGACAGCGAGGAGATCAAGGGAAGAGAACCTTGCTGAACCTGGCCCCTTTTGTCATGTTTCTGCACCAGCCTGCGGAACAAGGGGGGGGGGGGCAGAAAGTGAGGGCAGGTTGGATGCCTTCTTACAAGCAAGAAGCAAAAATGTCCAAATAGACAAAAATGTATGAAGCACTGAACCAGGCATCTACAGTTATTGAGACTGAAAATAGGAATGTGCAAGCTGATAAGCGAGAGTAACATTTAAAAAGGGGGTAAGTTGGTTTGATTAAATATTCAAAGGGATGCAGCCAGGCTTGGTGTACAAATGAAGACCGGGTAAAATTGGAACTGGCTGTTGGAGTCTCAGAACTGTACCTGGGCAGCCATGCCCGAAAGTGAAAGCAGGTCAGAGGTTGTTCTGCGGAGGCACAGGAAACAGCTAATACAGTTTGAGATGATGGTGCCAAGAAAAAGAGCCAACCATTTGCGTTGGAAGAGAAAGTTGGACAAGTAAATCAAGGCCAGATTGAGAAGGCCTGGAATCAAGAGGGTGAAGTAGGGAAACATGTGCTTTGGGGCCAGGCTGGACTAAGTCTAAATCTCATCTGATTTCTCTTACAAATTAAATCTCTGTTCCCCTCTGTGAAATGGGATAATTATGCCTCAATATTGTGGGGGTTACATAATTATGCCTCAATATTGTGGGGGTTACACGGGGTTAAATGAGACAATGTCCTTAACCCTAGTTAAGTTCAGCATTAACCCCTTCTTCCCTTTCACCTATTTCAAAATTGTTCCCATGATCTCTAGGCTTCTTCAGAGCACGTTTTAAGGTTCTTCAAATAAACATGTTGCTATGCCCCTCTTGTTTAAATTCAGTCAGCTCTGTTGCCTCCAGACACTCTGGAGTCTATACTATACTGCTATCTTTTGTGGCATCTAAATTCTTTGAAAACACAGAGTTTATACTAGAAGCTTCTAGTAATTGACATTCTGAGCAATGAGGCCATCAGATTGGCCCATCTAATGCCAATAATATGTAACATCAGTTTATTAGACTCTCAATGGCTTTGGCTGAAAACTCAGGTCCCCATGATTAGAAATAGCAGTTAGGTTCTCAAACAATCTCCATACCTGTGTGTTGTAAAAAGCCATTTCATTTTATTAAGTGTCTGCTTTCCCAGAGCTGAGCCTACACAGAACAACCTCTGACATGCAGTTGACTTGGGGACATACCCACATTCAGAAATTCTGTGACTAGGACTTGGAAAGGTCAATGCTCTGACAGGTGATAGGAAGAACATAAATGAGTTTCGAAGTGGCCTATAGATTGGATCCCAGCTCTGCCCTTTCATTACTAAAAAAGAGCCCTAGATTACTTACTCTTGGAGACAGGTACCAAAAAGAGGTAGCTGAGATCTCCAGATATGTACCCATACACACACTTACACTGACTGATACGTGTTTCCATGACATGGAAGCACAATTACGTATTGGAGAATAAAATAGGTCTCTCCAAAGTACAATGCTGTCTCTTATAAATATGTATACCAGATCTGACAATTAAGTTCGCGAACTTGTTGCAACAATGTTGCTAACCTTTATTTGATATCAGAGGGATTATTCATTATGCATTTGTACCAACTGGACAAACAGTTAACCAATTTTACTATTTGGTAGTGCTGAAAAGGGCACATGAAAATGTTAGATGACCTGAACTTTTCACCAACAATTCTTGGCTCTTGCATCACGACAATGCACCAGTTCACATGGCATTCTCTGTGAGGGAGTTTTTAGCCAATAAACAAATAACTGGATTGGAACACCCTCCCTACTCAACTGATCTGGCCCCCAATGACTTCTTTCTTTACCTGAAGATAAAGGAATTATTAAAAGGAAGACATTTTGATGACATTCAGGACATCAAGGGTAATACAATGACAGCTCTGATGGCCATTTCAGAGAAAGAGTTCCAAAATTGCTTTGAAGGGTGGACTAGATGCTAGTGTCAGTGCATAACTTCCCAAAGAGGAGTACTTCAAAGGTGACCTTAGTGATATTCAGCAATGAAATATATAGCATTTTTTCTAGGATGAGTTTGCAAACTTAATTGTCTGACTGTCTGTGTGACCATGTCAAATGAGGCCATAAACTATAGTATCACCTTTCCTAAAGCCTTTTCTCAATTTATTCATTTATATAAATATACACAAAGATGATGGAATAACATTAAAATTCTAGGATGAAGATAATAATTTCAGAAGGGTAATATGACAGCTCAACATTTGAGGTAGGTCATATGTTCTTTGAACATTAACCCCATCACTTTATTATGACAGAACTAAGGTGTGGACCTGAGGATTAGAGAGGGGGGAAAGTTTGTACCTTAAAGCTTAGAATGTGAACTATATTTCTCCATATCTCTGTTAGCACCTAGAACAGAGTAGAACACATAAAATGCATTCCACAAATATGTGTTGGTTTCAACTGGTTTTCCCTCACAAAGCCCTCTTATCTTATTACCAACTGGTCCCCAAACGCTGACAATCCAAAGCCATCTGACTGACCTTAAATTTGATAACTTTATGGTGTTAGTTACACGATGGGATTTTTTCCGGCTAATGAATCTCCTGCGGCATCTGTTTCAAAATGGAAATCTATTATATTATTAGAAACACTCTCAGTGTGTAGAAGCTGGAGGTGAAACGCAGTTAAAGTCTGAGCTCTTGATAATGCACTGGCAAGCAGAAATATCATGGCTGGACCTAGTAGGAGAAAGAAGAAAGTGGGAAGCACACATTTACATCCAATGCCCCAACCCAAAGCCTTCTAGTGTTTTTACTCTCAGGCCTTTTGATATGTTTGGTTAGTCTCAGGTGTGAATGGCAGGTTTTCTGGGCAAGAATGCTGGTTTGATTTGGTGTGTAAGTAGGTAAAAAGAAGAAAAACCAATGAGCAATTGTTGTTCAATGGACGATTCCCTGAGTAATCCAGTCCACTGTAAAATGTTGCTATTACATGATACAGACCAGCAAAAAATTTAATGTACAAAAATATGTATTGTAAATAATGTTTATAACCAAATCAACAAAGCACTATCACTAAGTGAGATGCCAGGATTTGGCAGTAGCTCCTGAGAGCAAATTTTTCAGTGTAATGGTATCTGTTATGAAAAGATTTGGTTGTTTCAGTCATTAAATAAATATGTTATTCACACTTATAAAAGTATACATCAATTCATCCTTTGGCTTCCCCCATTGCACCCCTACCCGCCTTCTACCATCAATATTTCCCTAGGAAACATTGTAATAGTCTACCATTACTTAAGACCATAAACACCATCCTTTACCACATCTCCAACATGGCAAAACCACCCAGGTGTTCACTTCTCCGGCCTGACCTTTCTTGATAACTTTTTCAAGTTCCCCAAAGCCAGTGGGACCATCCTAAGTTGCGATGCAACAGAAGGCACCAGGATGTGTAGTCAGAAGATCTGTGCTCTCCATGACCTGGCTCCAGGTGACTCCCCTGAGCTTCCTGAACTGATGTTCCTTCTTCTGTAAAGAGAGAAGTTGAAGTCCTTCTTTGCAGAGGTGTTGTGAGAATTACATGAGACCTCATATGTAAAATTCTTAATATAGTAACCAAGTAGGTGCTTAATAAATTGATGTTAAATGTAGATGGAGAATTTTTTATGTAGAGAAAAATGTACCAGCTATGGTTTGTATCCTCAAGTCTTTATTTCCTCATCTTTAAAATGGGGATAAGGTATACCCTGTAAGTTAGTAAACATTAAATGAGGCAATAGTAAATAGTCATAGTAAGTGGTCTATATATGTATGTTATCATTTGTCTGTGAGAAGGGGATTAGTTAGAGAGAGTAGTTATCAAAACTTCCACTAACCCATCCTTCTATCCTAATCAGACATTCAAGCCTCTTTGGCTCTCTTTACCCTCTTCTAAGCCTCTAATCTTCAAGAAACAGAAAGCTGCGAGATGAAGTCTTGTAAGTTCGATTTCTTAGTATAAAAGACGGTTTTTCTTATTAGAAATAGGTGAAAGCTCCTTGAAGACACCTATAGTTTCTCACCTACACTATCTCATTTTAATTTTCACAAGAACGCTGTCAGACAGCAACCACTACCACTATTCCCCTTTTAAAGGATGAAGAAACGGAGACTCAGAAAGGTTAAGAAACTTGTCCAAGGCCACACAGCTACTCTTAATGAAACATGCAACAATCCAAGAGACTAGCCTGAGGAGACCCTCCTTTGGCACTGGAATCCCCCCTCCCCCCAACTCCGCACTCCCCACAAGCTCATTCTCAGTACCCTCAGGACTCTTGTTGCCAACAGACCCATAACTCTGGAGTTCATACCTCAGACTCAGGAGCTGAGAGATGGCTCTGGACAAAACCACAGGGCCCAGTTTTCCACGGAGCCACACTGCAGGCGTGTCTCCCTTTCTCCCTCCAGCTATCTGGATCTCGCCTGTAGGTGGCGCCCTGATTCGCTCAGGGGAACTTAAAGGGCGAGGACACGGGTCACCAGCTACCTCCCCTAAAGGCCAATAGTCCCCTGGCCCCGCAGAAGAACCTTGGTAATGTGGACGTGACCCCCCTCCACGCCGGATCGCTCATCCTCTCCCGACCCCGCCTCCCCTCCCACCTCGGGGCTGGCGCATTGCCGGAGCAGTGAGCCTGCGCTTCCCCCCCAGGTCGGGCTCGGAAGCCTGATCTCCAAGCGCTGTAGGCTGAGCCTGGGCGCTCCTGGGCGGCGCTTCGATCCCGGAGCCTTAGGCCTGTCCCCTCCGCTCCACAACACTCCCCCCTCCGACCCCGCACCACCTTTTGCCCGCCGCCGCTGTAGCAGGGATGGAAGGATGGGGGAGAGTGTGACCCTGTGAGGGCTGGGCTGGGCGGGGCAGCTTTAAAAACTTCTGAAAGGCCTCGTTCAAAGCCTCAAAGGACGGAAGGCGGTTTCCGCGAAGGGGCCTAAAAGGGGGCGGGGGTGCACCTGCAGGGCCAAGAGAGCGCGCTGCCTGGGAAGAGGGGTTGGTTACCCACTAGCCCTGAACCCCCCGCCCCGCACTCGCCGGCCCAGCCTTGGCCTCCTCCGCCCAAAGCCTTCCCCGCCTCAAGGGGAGCCTGGCAGCCCCTGTGGGGACGCTTGGCTTTCATCCTCCCCGCGGGTCGGCAGCGAGGCGGGGTGGGAGCTTCGGTAGCCCGCGGTCCCTGCAGGGTCTTCCTTCCCGCCGGCCCCTCCTTCAGAACCCGAGATTTCGCAGCAAAATTGAATTCCCGGATTTTTAATTCCAATCCACCCGGGTGGGAGCAGCCTGAGGATGTGGGCTTCGTGATGAAGGAAACATTCCCATTTCACATCCTACACTCCTAAATAAAACTCACTGGGAAGGGTGAGGAGGAAGGGAAAGCTGGAGGAGAGGCCCGCGCTAGGGGAGCCGTGGGGGTGGCAAGGATCGAGGGGTGGTGGATCGGATAGTGACCCCAGCGGAGTCGGGAGTTGCTGCTGTCGCTGAGAGCCCTGGTTGTGCCGTCTGGGGACAGATGGGAAGGCCCCCGGCCTCCGCTGGCTAGGGCAGCCCTTCCGTGGACTGAGAGCAGACGCGACCCTCGAGGGGCCCAGAGAGACGAACTAAAGTGATTTTCATTAGTACCTCATTATGAGAATCTTCATCCTTCAAAGTCCTTCCCATAGAGGTTTTTGAATGAATTAGGTAAATGATTTGCTCCATTTGTTGTTTCTGAAGACAATGTCTCGGATCTTCTGAAATTGAGCGCTTCAACCGGGAAGCAGACATGTGGAGGCTCCTAGAAGGGCTTCCACTACCTGCGGTCTCATTCTTTGGGGATGGCTGAGTGGGTTCGTGAGGACCCGTGGGGAACGGTAGAAGTGGAATTAAAAGAAACTGAGTAATTTAATTAAGGAAGAAAAATAGCCACTGAAAATAGAGTAGTTAAAAAATAAACTACGTGAAGTTTATTGTTGTGCTTGGAGTCTTTTTCCTTGATATGAGAAAGTAAAATACATGAGAGTTGGGAGGTTTTTTCCAATTAGCATTTATTATACTTTCTCAAGGCCTTGAAAGAATTATTTTAGTGAATTTTAAGAACAAAAGTTGCTGACATTACATAGGCAGCAAAAGTGTGACAGATCGGAAGACTCCAGAGGAGTTTAGTTGCAACATTAACTCTCAAATTTAATGTCAACTTTATTTTTTCTTAAAATAGGGTGGTGTTTTTATTAACTCATACTTCAGGAGGTAGGGAACACTGAGAAGGAACAAGACCAAAGGAAAAACACAGCAATGGAAACAGAAAGAGAGGTGAGATTAACTGTAACAGTCTGGTGTTCAACGAGTCCCAAGCCGGCGTCCTAATGCAGTACACATTTCTGGTAGCGTTAACTTCATCCGGAATATTGGTGGGCCTGGTCTCTAAGCACTGCCTAAGAAAGGACAGACTTAAGAAAAATGCTTCAGCCCTGATGAAAAGGGGGCCTAAGTAGACTGCGCTGCTTTTAAAAACGGCAGGTGTGCGCAGCATCCCCAGCGCCCAGTATCCCTAGCAATAGAGCTGGGCGGTGGTGGGTGAGAGAAACAGATGACCCGTTCGCGCTGTGACCTGAGTACCTTGCCCTGGCATTCTAGCAGACAAGGACTGGAATGTGGAAACTACCCTCCTCATTTTAGCAAAGCTAAGCAATCGGTCTCCTACAAACTTGCCCACTTTGCACTCTCAGTATAAAACATGAAAACATTTTATCCCTTAAGACTAAAATGTAGCCTTTAAACACTCCCAGCAGGGGTTGAAAGCATGTCAAGGGCGTAAAGGCAAGCTTGTGTTGCACACAGGGCAAGTGTAACTTATCAGTGTAAAGAGCAAGAAACTTTGTAAAAGTTAGAATCATCATTCAAAGAGATAGTTTGAGAAGGTGTTACAAAATATCCTGGTAACCAGAGAGGAGCAGAAATACTTGGGGGTGCTTTGGGTTTCCGAAGGGGGGTAATTGAGACTTGGTGCACTATAGTTTGAATGTTTTAAGGTTTACTGTAAGCAGTCCTTATCTTCACGACACTAGAAGGCTATACTTTCTGGGCAAAGTATTCTTAGTGATTTTCCCAGAGTTATGAGGTCTAAGACCTTTAAAGTTCTCTTGACCTGAAAAATCACAAAACTAGCAAACTCTGCAACTTTTCTCTTGAGTTTTTTATACAAAATACAAAAACCTTGAGCGCAAAATAATTAAGGTGGTGGTTTCTCCCAGAAAGAAACTCCACGGGGAGTTACTGGAGATGATGGCTGTGTTAGAGCCCATTTCATAGTGGTTGGGTGGGGGCGGAGGGTTAGATAACAAACGCGGCACAAATACACATCTTCATCAACCCGCACTGGCACCCACCCTGGGTCCATACACTGTCTGCTAAATAACAAGAGTTTCCCTCCTTCAAGTATGTGAGGAGCAAGGATTGATACAGGGTCCAACCCATGGCCACAAAATACAAAGGGGTGGGGGCGCTTAACTCTCTGGGGAAGGGGCTGTCCTAAAAAAAGTCTGGTACTTCCAACAAGCAGCGACAAAAACAGCCTTGGAGATCTGCAACCTGTCAGCTGCAGGGGTAGCCACTATATCCCACCAGCCCCACAATATTAATGCTGTGGTTCAAAAGTTGGAAACTGCGGTTTTTAATTGGGACTGCGTCCTGCCTTCCCCCTTTCCTATTCAGTGGCCTCTCTGTAAGCGGATTTGCTTTTCCATGCATCGCTAGCAAGTCACTTTTAGGAAGTCTTGCCTCTGCAAAACGTTTTAAACGTGGTGATATATTGCAGTCTTATTAAGTCCCCCTCCAGAAGGGCGTGAAAGGAGCTCTGTTTTCCTCAGAGATTCAGGAACTCAATGATCTGCGCGAAGGACTGGCCCAAGGAAGGCTTGGATTGAGTCCACTATCCACTCACCTGAAGGCAGGATGTTTTGGTTTTGGTTTTGTTGTTTCGTTGGGATTTTAGTGCCTGGGAGATTTAAATTCACACAGTACTCTCTCCAAAAGGAAACAAGCATTGAACTTGTTTCCTTCATTACAAAACATCCTAGAAGTCCTTCTGAGAGAAGAGGCTGCAGAGTTGGTGGAGCCACGAATTAATATGGAGAACTAGGCCATCTGGGCCAACTTCCCGGGGCAAGAAGAAGCAGTGGGGAGGGGACAAAAATTTCTCACAGTCGCTACAAGGAAGGCGGGTGGTAGCGCAGAAAGCCCCTTCTAAAGTTCGGTTGTGCTGGGCACCTGGTCTTCCTTCCAGGATACCCTGCCCAGGAGCCCCGCGGGTTTCAACTTCCACCATAAAAGTAAGGGTCTGATCGGCCACGCGTCCCCTCCTTCCCCGAGGGATGTGCCAGGCGGGCAGCCCAGAGCAGGAGCGACGCGGAGTTAGCTCTGGGGCCAGAGGGCGGCGTCCGGAGCTGCGTACCGCAGCCTCCTCTAGCGGCTTTGCGGTCATGACCTTGCCGGCAGCCTCTGCGCCTCCTGCTCTGTCCCTCCTTCCTTCCTTGGACCCAACCCTTCTCGAGGCCTGGAGTGGGTGATCCGTGTCGTCGGAGTCGGTGGTGGTGGACAGCAGAATTGGATTTATTTACTCTCAAATCCCCCCAGTACCTCTCTAACTGGGGAAGCCCAGGAGTCACTAGGAACCGTGATCAGTGAAGCTCTCACCGGGACTCGGAGTTCACAGAACGCCCTGGAAGGCCAGGAACCTGCGGCTTCTGGGTGCCAAATTGCTGCGGGAGGGGAGGAATGAAACTTGCCAGGTTTCCCACCTTTGGCTCCGGAAACTTTTTAAAGTATAGGTGCCTTGGGTTTTCTTTTGGGCACCTTACTGCACCTCTTTAGAAGAGGGGGTATGCGCATGTGATAATGATGAAGGGGGAAGGAGGAAGGCAAGCAGGCAGGATAGAAGGCAGTGCACCCTCTTCTATTGATTTATTTATTTAGGATATTGTGTTAATCAGATTGACAAAGTAAAGTTGAGTGCTCACGCTGGCGCTGGCAAGAACTGAACTTTTCTCCCCGCGCTCTCAGCAAGGCGCTTTTCTGGCTAACAGAGAACTTGACCGAGGCCTGCAGCCCACTAAACTTGGTGTCGGAAGCCACCCTCCGTGGAGGTTTCAGGCCTGCCAGCCTTGGGGCTGTTTCAGGTAGAACAGTGCACCTGGGGCTTCAGGTGCCACAGGAGGAAAGGTGTGGGACATTACTTTCCAACAGCCAGTGACCTCAGCCTGCCAGCACCTACCTTGCTCTGGAAACACCTAATCTCCTCTTCCTCTATAAAGCTTAACTGTAACTCACCTCCAATCCCAATTGCAAACACTAGAAGAATTGCTCCCTGAAGCATTCCATGCCTGTGACCTTTCCTAAAGCCTTGTTCAAGTCTGAACTCTGGGGGTCATCGAAAGAGCAGAGAAATTCAGGATGTCTCTTTTCCCTTTAAATTAATAGTAACACAAAGGGAGCACGCCCGAGATTTGGGATTGTTTTGACTTCATAATTCAATGACAGAGACTAGGCCTGAGGTAACAAGTTGCATAGGAAAGAACATATCACAAGAAAAACAGGCAGGAACAGATGCCTTGGAAGCTTCTC